ATAATGAAATATTAAAATAATAATATTATAATAAATGTATTATTTTTTACATTTGAAAATAAGTAGTGATTTCATGATATAAACTTCTAGCTGTAACAGTGATTTTTGACAATCAATCATAGGCTGTACCAGTATGAACTAGTATGAAAATAACAGTAATTGCTATTTAATTTTAGATTCTGGTTAGAGCGAAGAAGCTTATGGTTTTACAAAGATGTTTATTTTATTTTATTTTTTTTTTTTTGTACACAAAAATTTTCCATCAGAGAACTGTCTCCGATTTTTAAGTGAAGTACCTTTTCAGAAAGGAAATCGGTGTGGGGGGGCTTTATTGAAGTCGTTTTTCTCAAGAGTTTTCTCATCAAGTGTGAAAAACTGAAAGAAAACTGACGAAAAACGGGAAAATGTAAGAAATGTAGGTATTGGTTAACAATTTTTCTGCCTTCTTTTTTCCAGTAGATAACTTTTGTATTAGCGATTTTGTTCCAATTAATAATGATATCAATTTTCTAAAAGTATATCTGACTGGGGTGGTACTTTAGAGAGGCCATTTATTGATTTTCTTACTAGTATTCTCAATAAATGGGAAATCCGGGAAAATAGAAAACGAGATAATAGGTACAATATTGAACAAATATCTTTAAAGAAAATATATATTGTCTATGTAATTATTTTACTATGATATGACATATATATTGTTGACAAAGCAACTACACTATCAACTAAATTGCGCTGAGAATCGTTTTTTTGTTAGCCACGGTTAATCGTTGCTAACAGGTACACATTAAATTACCTTTAACAGTGGCTGCACCCGCTCTCATTATCCTAAGAAGTAAATTTTTTAATACAACTATAGTAGTATTATTAAAATGGTCAGCTATACGCGTTATCACATCACGTTTGATAATCCAGCATAAAAACAATTTCTGTTAATCATGATTATATATTCTCATTTGATGAGTAAGTCCCATGGTAGAAAAGTTGCCTACAGGAAAAAAAAAATAAAAAACTTTGTAAAACCATATAAATTTTTTTGCTCCACTCAACATCTAAAAAATGGCAACACCAGATTAGTAGCAGGTAGCAATAGTAACAATAGTAGCTTTAAAATAATTATTAACTACTCTTAAATCTGGTGGCTGGTAACACCGAGACGTAAAAGTCACTGTTATTTTCATTATTGTTTTTTTAGTAACAGTAGCAATTGTTACTGCTATTGAACAAAAGAATCACAGCCTTCTCAAAAAAAATAAAAGTCTACTAGAATATAATTACCGTTATGTGTGCACTCGAATAAATACAAAGAAATTGAAATTAAAAGATTAATATTCGAAATATAAAATATATACAGACTGACTTAAAAAAATAATTAATGTTTGTCGAAATACGATATGAATTTAAAAAAATGATAGTTTTTTTTTAAAAGATATAATCTTCAACTACATAAAAATATTGGTTTTTTAATTTTTCTCAATCTTTTTCGAATATTATTTTATATTTAACATTTTCCTATTTTTTTTTTTCTGTCAATAACATTAAACTGCGTCTTCGAATGAATTCGATGAATACAATATTTTTGTATAGAATAAAAAAAAAAGTAATAATAATCCGATAATATTATGTTTAAATGTTTAATATTCAAATTTTTGTATTCGTTTCTATTTCACATGCTTGATTTGAACTATGTTTTGGAGTTACAGCTTGACTTCAGGGTCTTAAATGAATTAAAAACCATACATATGTATGCAAATAAGAATCATTTTATAATTTTGTCGATATTTTGTTACATTATCGAAAACGATGTGCTTATTAACTCCATGGATTGGAGGGTGTAAAATAATAATAATGCAAATAAAGTAATTATTACCAGTGATTATTTACCTCCTCTCTCCCCCCCCCCGTTATTTTACCCTCTGTTTGTTTACAAACGAGGTAAAATATCATGGGGGTCAATTTTCGTGGTCTCAACTGGGAAATTTGTTTTTTTTTTTTTAACATATTTTTACGTTTTACGAAAAATTCAATAACTCAAATGTTTTTTTACACACGTGTACTGCAAACAACTGTAACAATTTACCGATATACTCGTATTTTGTATATTTTTGTTAATAATGTTGTCATATTGCATCATAAGAAATTTTTGAATCTGGCGAAACTCCAAATCACACATAAAAGTCTTGTATTTTTATTTCTCCGAAACCAACGGCATGAAACCAAATTTCCGAACAGTTAACAATATTTTTCCATATTTTACGATTGCTTTATACATGTGCGGTTTTACTTATACTATACCCATATTATATTATACAGGTATTTTAGAAGTTCGTCAGGTTCGCATTACGTAAAATGACTTTGGAAATAATTTGTTCGAGTATTAGGTACACAAGTATATGAGATGATTAATAATTCAAAAGTTTTTCGCAGACATTTTCGTTATAGGTAAGGTGAATTAAGGGCGAGAAATCATTATTATTATGCGGTATACTAAAGTTTACTATTATACTACCTAAACATATATATATATATATATATATATATTTATTATTATTATTCGCATCATGATGCAATTCTTCGCCATAAATTAATATACAAGTATAATAGATAGTACCTATATCCTATATATTATATAGTATAATGAAAATGATGGGTTTTACTATCTGTAACTGAAATTTTTTTCTTTTGCGTATTCAACGTTAACCTGAAATCAAGACGGACAAAAGTTGAGCGTAAAAAAAATTCAATTTGAATCGAGTTCACTTATGAGACAGCAAGGTACTCGAATAGACTGAAGCAATCTATTACGATGATGACTTCGAATCAATATAACTTTTGACAAATAAATCTATATAGCAGCTCTGATAGGATTAAGGGAATAAAAGTATGCTGCCAAGTCCCGAAGCGAATTTATACGTAATTTCGATGTCCCGATAAATAATTCGAAATCGTATAAATAATTAAAAATCAAACAGTCTGTAGTAAATTCATCGTATTACACGTCAGCAATTTACTGACATTATGTAATTCTGCGGGGTTTCTTTTGTTAAAAAAATTAATTTTACTAAGCTTTTATTGTATAACTGTTTCCGTTTTTTATCGGATCTTCTGTATAAAAAAGACACTTAAGAGGATTAGTTATAATGTATATTTTAGTTGGTTTAAATCTACAAACCGTAAAAAACTGTAAGAACTGTATTCAATGGTATCAATTTTGAATAAATATTACGATTATTTATAGGTTCAATATTAGAATATGTTTAAAATTAAAATTTAATTATTTTACTGAAAATCATAAAAAAAATTTCTGATTGTAATTTGGAAAAATTTTCAAAAAATGCACTTCAAGTGTTTCGTCATTTAATAATACGTCAATAATAAAAATGATTCAAATTTAAAAAATGATTTTAATGTGTTTTAAAAAAAAACCTGAAGAGTAATAATACGTTTGTAAAATTTAAATCCATCTAAAGCAATTCAAAGGCAAATTATAGTTTATAATGTATGCTATATATTTTATTGCGTTATAATAATAATATTAGTAATAGTATATTCCGTTAGATATTTCGTATAGTTGCAATTTGTTTAATATAGGTACTGCAACTATTAGCAGTATAATATCAATACCAATATCAATCAATGGTGAAATTTTAGCATACGCACGTGGTGAAGGGGAGGGAGTTGAAAGTTAAATCTACCAAACGCACATATTTGATGATATATATGTGTAATATTATCGTTAAGCAATAATTTATTATACTGAATTTCATATTGAAATTATTATTTTAACCAATTTTTATCATATAAATTTGCCTATATCTGTACACTACATAATCTCGGAATGTATTAATTTTTTTTTTTTTTTTTATGTTTTTTGGATAATTTAAGTCACAATAATAAACAACTCTAAAAGGTCTGAAATTGCCTGAAAAGTAATTGAAAATGTCAATACCAAAATACTACATAGATTTCCATTTGAGAATCAAAATGTTAAAGTGGTTTCACTCTCCAACCATAATAATGATCAGAAATAAAATATTTAAAGCTGATGTAATTTTTTTTAAAATTTTTCGAAAAATAAAACGCCAAAAGATAAGGTACCTAATGAGTCTCATATGATCTGTATAAAACAACTGTGACTTCTAAGCAAATGTTTGGTCCAGCTGGAATCTGTATGTATATTAGTGTCCGAAAGTAGCACGAAAAAATATCGACAGAATATATACAGTGCGATACCTCGGGGAAAATTCGACAATCATCCAGTAAATCTTATATCTTCCCGACTTTGTGTCCCTCGTAAACTGAAACATAATATCACGATACTGCCCGTCACGAGGGTGCACCCTGAAAATATCCGATGGACAGAAAATCTCCTTTCAAAATATCTTTGTTAGAAATACTAACTTTATTCAAGGCTTATTAAAAATATTCCCTGGTCAAAAAAATCCGCGTTGTTAATATACAATAATATATCTCGCAGTGTTGAAACAGTCGAACTAATAACGCGAATTCAAAATCTTGATCACACTCCGTCTGAAGTGCGACGTTTTCGTATTTCTCGCCGAACGCATCGCGTAAAACGAAAAACACACGAAAACGTTTGTTGCTTTTGCAAACACCTCCAAGTGTTGTCCGAATGCCACGATTTAAATGGGGATATTTCGACCGTGAGATATTTCGACGGGGGATATTTCGAGGGGCAACCGATGTCGAGACCGGTACGCGAACCGCGCGCGCGAAAACGCACCGCGTACGAGCACGTGCGCTCGCCAGACGTCGTTGCGGGCGTCCGGTGGCGTATCCTCGGCAGCGTCGGCGGCGGCGGTGCCAATTAGCGGCCGCCCAGAGCGCAGTCTGCTCGCGCGCGTTGCGGTCCACCCGGGGAACAGTGAAAACGGGAAAAAAAAAACATTTTTTTTTTTTTTTTTTTTTTCGAAAATTTGTGTTTTTTCGTGCGGTTCGAGTAATAAAAATAATAATAAAAAAAAAACAAACTTATCATAACGCGGCGTCAATACAATATATTATTCGGTGTCGTTATCCGCCGCCAGAAATCACTGCGTACGATCTATAGCGATCGCGCGATCTTCTCCCGATCTGCGACGGGAAACAGACGGACGTCTTGTTATTAAGCATATATATATTTATATAAAAAAAAAAAAAAAAAACCCGATTTCGGTTGGACGAGGAGCAATATCGGACGGATCTGCGGCGGTGCCCAACCGGTGTCCAACAAACGTCATGATTTCCGCAGCGGCCGTGTCGGCCGACCGTCGTCCGACTGGACCGTAACCGCCGGGGCCAATCATGTCGCCGATCCGTCTGACGATCGCGTTCGCTCGCGCGTACTTCGCCTTGGCCGCCGCCGTCATCGTCGTCGTTTTTCGCGTTCCGAGTAAGTAAATCCGAAATATTAAATAAAAAATAATACTCGTTGCGGTTTCGAACGACGATTCCCCACCCCTTACACCCGCTCCCCATCAATCGTTTTTCGGACGTTCAAGCCTATACCTATTGAAAATATCGTGCCTACTTCTGGTTTCCGTCGCGGTGCGATTTATTCCGATTAAATACGCTCGGCGGAGGCTTGACGGAGAGACGCATACATCGAGAAAAAAATTACGCCTAAGTTCATTTTTTCGTGATCTTCCTCTCCGCCACCATGTATACGTATATATTCTAAAATATAGTACACTCTACGTATTAGCTCGTAAATTAAATCCGTTCGACCGTTCGAGTCCGCCCGCCGCCGCCGCCGTTTCCGCCAAATATGGGAACGGGTACTATAACTGATAGTATATAACAGCACATCTTTCGTACATAAACACATTACGCATTTATTTATGATGTACCGGATAAAATCGGTGTTTTTCATTCGTTTATCGCTCGAACGAAATATGATGTATAATAATAATACGTATATACATTTAGTTATTCTGAAGTTACACTACAGCTGTGTTTTCCACGAAAATAATAATATCATGACGACGGAAATGATCCATCGTTTTTATCTTATAAGTAGTCGGCCGGCCTACAGTAATCAGTTATTCAATAACGTTTCTAGTTGGTCCAATGGCGTGTTAACGACGAGAGCATAATGGAGATTTATTTATCATCCTGACTTTGTTTTTTTTTTGTTTTTTAAGATTATTGCCTGTCATATACTATATAATTGTTTGAATTCAAATTTCTTTGCGATTTAATCAGAAAAATCAAAAACATGTTGATAGTTTATGTATAAAGTTCCTCCCTCCCTTTCCAAACGTATACGTCTACTTGTTTAAAACTAAACCATTCTGCATCACTTTAACATGAAGGAGTTTAGATTAGCGTCTAGAAATAGTAAATGGACTAATGCCTGTACAGTTATTCGATTTTAACAATAATTTTAAGGCAGATTGAATTTTATAATACCTATAGAAATATATAAATTAAACATTGATGTTTTTTTTCGTTAAGCTTACAGGCTTTACAATATCAAGTACATTGAGAAAAAACCAAAAAAATCCCAAAAGCAATATATAAAGTATATATTGCTGTTATATTTCAATATGATTGTTATTATCCGTTTCAAACATAATTTAATTCTGTTAACTACATTTCAAAGTTCATCGTTTAACCTTATCCGAACTTTTTCATTTGTAAGAAAAAACAATTTCTTGGGTAGGTTACGAAATTTAAAAATATTTTTATCAGGTTGAAAAAAAATGGTTTCCCCTTGTAGCCTTCATATTATGACACTGTGATTTACGATACAATTTCCGATTTTAATATCGCTCTCCATAGCAAAAATCTAAATACGCCATTAAATCGGCCGAAAACGAACGATTTTGAAATCGAATATAATAATGTATTATAATAAAATTACAGATAGCAGCTATTTATTATTATTATTGGAGAACGTTGATATCAATAATTATTACGACCTTATGGTTGATTGGTATTTTGTTTAAAGTTATTTGTTAATGGTCATCTGCAGTATAGGTATGAAACAATAAAACATTGGATTACGTTCGTATTTTAAACATGTCGTTCTACGTAACTTAAATTTAATTTTAAAAAATTTAGTGTCGACATTATTGAATGAAGACACCGGTTTTGAATATCCACGATATGATTTTATTTTTTTTTCTCGAATAAACGTGTATACATAGAAATATTAAGGTTTTACCGATTTTATAAAAGTAAAATTATTTAAGTATTCTTTGAAGTATATTTAATGATTTTCCTTTTAAAAAAATGTATACTTTAAAATTTCGAATTGATTATTTGTCCGAAATTAAAAAATAATAATATTTTCCAATATAAAGGTAACATTGTACGAAATATCAAAAACAGATAATAGAGTCAAATTTGTCTGAGCTGATTAGAACAATGTTTTCCTTATATTTTATCATATATAAGTAAGTTAGGTTGATAAAGATTGACCTATACCTACACATTTTCATAAAATAATAATTACCTCGGTATTTTTCGGAATAATTATTTTGGCCGGCTAGAAATGCGATTGAAACTGTGACCTTAAAGAAATAAAAACTTAATTTCTACTAAATTCACTGTCCATAAAATAGTATAGTGTCTGTGTGTTTAAAATATTTAGATTTTTTTAAAACATTTTTCGGAGCCTGCTATTTTTTCTTTAGTGATCTGTTTTTCGTGTCTCCTCGTATTTTGTCTTTCGCTTGTCGTATACCTATAGAGACATACAGTAGAAATTTCAAGCATTATTATTGTATAACATTATTTTATGTTTTATATATACTGTCACGGCAGAATAGCAAATTCTCACTATGCGTAATGCGAAAAACTCGCCGACAAATTATTAATTAATATACGGAGTTTTTTCTTTTTTCGTCATGTTTTAGCATTTTCGGAACCGACGAAAAATAAAACGTGGACAAATAAATAAACCGTAGGATGTGGATAGGTGGCATTATTGTACGTAGGTATAATAGGTACCGTGTGTGGCATTACGATTTAAAAAAAAATGAATTGCGTGATGATATTGGTTCATTAGTGATGTCCAAGCGAAACATTCGTATTAAATAATATCGAGATAATTAAAATTTGAGAAATTACGGAAATACATATTTAATACCTATTATTGGGAATCGCAGAGAATTGAATATAATTTCCAAATAGGTTTTATATCGAATATTTATTTAGTTCTCTGCGAACGATGAGCACGTATAACAATGGATTTTTTAATGAATAATTATGGATATTCGTTTACCGCTTGTTTAAAACGCCTCAAATGCGTATATATTTTGCTAAGTTTACCGACTAGCATATAATATTATCTTTACCAACGCGGTGGATTGCTCTGAATTGGTATAATCAAAATATAATTAACTATTAAGCATCATTGAAACAGTTTTACAGATAAAACAAGTATAATACTGACTCCACTAAATATACAATAATAATTATTGTAAACTAATACTAAAATTGTCTGATTTATTTGGCAAAATAACATGTTAAATAATTGCATGGCTTAAAAGCCATTTAGAACGAAAATTTTACAATTACATTTGGAACGCAAAACTGTACAAAATCTACAAAGCCCTTCTTCTCCGGAACTAAAGACATATAATATAATTTTCGTTTACTATTCCTCCTGCTTATTCTAGCCTCATTGAAAAATTCCGGCTGATCAGCGTAATATATACATATATATATAAAGAGAGAATATTAACAACGTTAGGAACAGGACCACCATCATCATCTGTTAAAAATAATAATAATTAATGTTGTACTGAGGTAATAGTATAGCCGTAGCTACATCAGCACGGCACTATATTAATATTATTCTCGTTTGTGTAGTATATAAATTCTAAAACTCATTTCCTTTTATAATAAATAGATTATTATAATAATATTTTCCTCCGTGGAGTTTGTGGCGGGTTCGGGGCATAAATAATACATAATAGATTTTACTCACCCACTCGTATACTTATAATAATCCCGGTGTGCAAAAACTACCATACCTGCTATGTCGCACGTGTAAGTTGTATTGAAATATGTGAGGTTCATAATTGATACTATATTAATGTGTACGCGATATATTTAAGACCCCTTATGTCAGGCCACATGATGCGTATTTATTAATGAAAAATTGAAAATCTGGACCCAGTCCCGCGACGTCACAGTATGCGAGGATTAAAAACAACTGTTATGATATTATATCTCAAGGTGACTTAAAATATAGGCAATTCAGGAGGGGAAATACACATGATTTCTAACGTTACGATGAGATTCGTACCGGCGACTCTTTTACGAGATCCCTCACGTTCCCTAACTTATATAATACCTAACCTAACCTAACCTAGAGGTGGCCTACTTACCCACTCACTATTGTGATGTCAGCTAGAGTATTTAATTTTAACGATTAAACAATGAACCGAGAATCGCTTGCTCTCACTTCTAATATTCGGTTTACTAGATCGTATTACAATCAGTGGCGTACTTAGAGGAGATTTAAGCCTCAAGCGCTAGCGCCCCCCTGAACAAAATCTTAGATTCATTGTGTGGGTACATTTGCGGAACGGAGGAAGGGTTGTATCCATCCAAAACTGAGCCAAGAACCTCTCAAACCGAGTTCTCATTAAGTATAATGTATTAAAAACCAAACGTTATTTATTGAGATCCTTTAAAAAATTAAATATTTAGGTTATTTGTGCTAATACTAAAACTATTGTTACAATCAAACTATTACGTAAAAGTAAATAATAATATTCGCGTGGATTTATGAATGTGATAAAGTTTGGATCTAAATAAAACTAAAAATGTTGTGAAGTCTGTTTAATGTAACATATAGAAATTAAAATAAGCAATTTGAAGATCAATCGGTGAATTCGCATAAATAGAACACAGACTCACGATGTTAAATTTAAACCTCCCCACACGCTGAAACATTATTATTTGTCGACGGTGTAACAACGAATACATTTTTCTCAACATTCCAATGTGAGGTTCAATAATAAACCTTAAAAATAAATCTATAGGAAGTTTATATCAAATGTTTCCATAACCTGGATAGTTAAAAGTTTAATAATTATATATAGGTACAAAATAGAAGGTAGGTATAGTAATATACGTTTTATTTTATTACGTAGGATTTTAGTACAGATTTGTATTCCATGCAAAGTTCAAAGAAACTCTGTTGTCGAAAGAAGATGCTCGCGGTAAATTGTATATACTTTATATAATATTTTTTTTTGTTTAATATAACAAAAAAAAAGTTCTGAAATTGAATTTTCAACTATAACTTTGCAAAACGAAATAGTTTTTACTCACAAAAAAAAATATTTTAATACATGAACAAAAAAAAAAAGAGAGCTGATACTGGGGTGGGAGCGGCCACTTTTGTAGATGAGAAATTTGGAAGGTAGGATA